CAAACAATCCGCCCGCCTTGGCCTCCCAGAGAGCTAGGATTACAGGCGTGAGCCACCGCGCCCGGCCTAAGATATACTTTTTTTTGAGACAGAATCTCACTCTGTCACCTCAGCTAGAGTGCAATGGTGTCATCATAGCTCATTGCAACCTCAAACTCTTAGACTCAGGCTATCCTCCTGCCTCAGCCTCCTGAGTAGCTGGGGCTACAGGCACACGTCACTGCACCCAGCTAATCTTTCTATTTTTAGTAGAGACAGGGTCTCGCTCTTGCTCAGGCCGGTCTTAGACTCCAGAGCTCAAGCAATCCTCCCGTCTCGGCCTTCCAGAGTGTTAGCATTACAGGAAGATATACTTTTTAATGTTTTCATTTTAAATAAGGACAAACCATTTTCCCTGGAAACATAGTGCTAATATTACATTTTCAGAAGTTTTCTTTTTCATCCATAGTTATGAGTGTAATACTGAAATGTAATCATCCATTATTTCAGAGTGCTTTTTTAGGTATAGGATAAAGAAAAAAAACTCATCAGAAAGGAGCCATGTGTCTTAACTGGGAAATTGGTAGAAAAGTGAGAGAAAAGGGAGAGTCCCTAATGTGAGGAAACAGAAACCTCAGGTCATCTTCATCTTAAGAAATGGAGTAAGCACTTATATAGAGTTGGCTAAAGAAATCCTGGGGAGTGTAGATCATCAGTCTTGCTAGTTTGGATTGTTAATGGTACCTTTAAGACATTTAGCTATTCTTGCCTAGAAAAAGTTGGACACTACTCTTGAAACAACTTCTTCATGTGGGCTGCTCTAAAGAAGCACGCACCTCACTTGTATTAGTCATACGGGGTAAGACATTCAACTTTATCCACAAAGTCTCTGTATTCTTTCATACCCATCTAACTCAGACACATTTGTCCTTTTTTCAAGTGCTCGTATTGACACATAGACCTGTTATTCTATGACTAACATATAGTTTCTGGAGCCTACGGTATTATAATAGTTTTGTTTTGGGTTAGATTTGTCTAAAAACAAATCTTTTTTTCCTCTGACCTTAAAGTAAAAGATAATGAAAATAGGTAATATTTCCTAATTAGACATTTTGACAGCTAAAAGTGTTTGTTTTAAATGATAGCTCGAATGTACTTTTTCAAAGACCTTTAACCAGCAGCTTTTTCCCCTCAGACGTTAATACTATTATGGAAATTGTTTCTGGATGTTCAATTGTTCATTCATGTTTGTGGCATGTGGATATTAATATATGTAAATGGTTTCATGGCATCACTGTTTTTTCTAAAGTACATATAAAGAAGAAAGAAAACCTTCCTTTAGAGTCATACTTGGATTTTACTTAGTTGACATAAAACTGTTTTTCTTCTCCTTTTCAGGTTGTAAACATGTTAAAGGCATCCTGTTATATGGACCCCCAGGCTGTGGTAAGACTCTCTTGGCTCGACAGATTGGCAAGATGTTGAACGCAAGAGAGCCCAAGGTGGTCAATGGGCCAGAAATCCTTAACAAATATGTGGGAGAATCAGAAGCTAATATTCGTAAACTCTTTGCTGATGCTGAAGAGGAGCAGAGGAGGGTAATGTGAATATAAATATAATTTAGTAAAAGTTTGTTATCACTTATATGATGAGTGAGACCCAGGGTTATGGAGGCAAACTCGTTTATACTTTGACCTATATTTTGAAACAACTTGCAGGTAAAATTTATTTAGTAACTAGTTTATATATGGCAGGGCACTTGGGATTGTGGGGCATGTGTATGATGTGAGGAGATGTCATTACCCACATGTTCATAATACAAAGGTAGATGATTGTATAAGCCAAAAGTTTTACAAAAACAGATCATGAATATATTTTCAGACAATACTTTTATTCCACATTACTTCCAGAGACATGAATTCACTTATCCTTTGGAAAAACCAGTTCTGGAGGGAGCTGCTGAAAAGCTAAGCAACCCCTTTGACAAGCTAGTGGTAGTAAATAAAGGGGGCAGAGATCAGAGCCCATGGCCCCCAAAGAAGGGATACCTGATGAGCATACCTCATTTTGAGTCAGGACCCTGAAGGGGGCTATAACATAGGAGCAAGGGTTAACCAGGAGTAGACATACTCTCTCAGAGGCTACAGATCAATCTCTAAAATTAGTTTGAGGGTTCCTAAATTGCTAGTGTCCCCAGGCATCTGGCAGAATCATAAATCCTTCCTGGAGAAAGGTAGTATCATGTAAGGTCACAAATTATTTCTACAGTTTCAAATCAATGTCTGGCTTATAATCAAAAGCAACTGGCTCCACAAAGACACAAACTATAAAGAAAAGAAACAAAAGATAGTAGAAACAGGGCCTCCAGATATTGGAATTCTCATATAGATACTTTTGAAATAACTTTTCACATTCAGGGAGATAAAAGACAAGACTGAGAATTTTGGCAGAGTACTGGAAACTGTAAAAACAATAAACAAATGGAGATTCTGGAAATGAGAAAATCAGTAAGGGAAATTAACTCAAGTGAATGTGTTTCAGATTAGACACATCTGAAGAGAGAATTAGTAAACTAAAAGATGTAAGATGAAAATAACCAGAGACAAAAGATGAAAGGAATTAAGAAAGAGTAAGGCAGAGAAAAAATACCATGAGAAGGTCTGATGCATATATTTAAAGTTCCAGAGAGGCAAGAGAAAGAGGGTGGGGCAAAAGAGTTATTTGAAGATAAAATGGTTTAGAACTTTTACAAACTGATGAAGAACAATAGTCCATAAATTGCCGAAGTGGTATGAACCTCAAGCAGGAGAAATACCAAAGTCCACATCTATAGACAGCATTGTTAAACTGCTGAAAATCAAAAACAAGAGAAAAATCTTAAAAGTGGCCAGAGAACACAGAAAGATTACCTTTAAATAAGCAGCAGTTAGCTAGCAGCTGTCCATTCAACAGAAATGGTAGAAACAAGAAGTCTGTTGAATGCTATTTTTAAGGGGCTGAAAGAATAATTGTCAACTTAGAATTTTATATCCAGGAAATGGATGAAGTATCATATAACTATACAATGGACTGTTAGACAGTA